AGTCTAGGCAGGGATGGGGTTAGGGTCACCCCAGCACCATCAGCTCCCACCTCAGCGGCCCCTCGAGGGGGGTCCCCAGTTCCTGTGGCCAGGCAGCCTCCTCCTGCCAGAGCACAGCAACAGAAATCTCTCTTCTGTGTTTTCTTTCTAGTTCTGCTCATGCTCCCCCCACCCCAAAGGGGCAGGTTCCTCCCCACATCCAAAAAGGACAAGTCCCTCCTCTCCTCGGCTCCCTTTGTCCTGGCGGTGGTGCTCAAGTCGGGTCCCTCCCAGGAGTCCTGGGGAGGTGGTGGTGTGTATGGAGAAACTTCCCAGGAGAAACTGGGGAAAACCCTCCAGAGAAAACGGGAAGTCTTTCAATCCAACCCAAATCCCAGGGAAAAGCTGCTCCAGCAGCTGGAGGCTCTGGACTGTGCAAATCTCAAAGCTTTGCAAAGAGCTTGCCTCTGCAGCCCCCCAAAATGTTTTTCCAAGGGAAACAGATCCAGGTGAGGGTTGGTGTGACTCAGCCCTGTAGGGAGGGGTGGTCAGGACTGGGGCTGAACCCTCACAGCCTCCTAAATGGGGCACTGCCAGCTCACCAGTCCTGCTGGGGTCCAGCACAGCCCCATGGCCCCACACGGTCCCCTGACAAAGTGGTGTGTTTAGGGCCTGGCTCAGGGCTCCTGGGAAGTCCCACACTGAACCCTAGTGCAGAGCTTGCCACCTGGTCCCCTACGGCACCAAGCACTCCCAGCAACTGGCCCATCTCCCTTAAACACTACTGAGAGTGGATACCCTGTCCCCAGTGGCAAATCTTGTGGACTGTCACCTAGAGAACAACTTGTAGGGCTTCTTTTCAGACCCAAGTTTGGTTTCATTAGATGGCTCAACACCAGCCACACACACAGAACAGGACACTCAGCATTGGTCTCTTCTACAGCGCACCAGGGGACCTTCCGATTAAACCTGTGACCACCTCACTGCAGTCTGGTTTTGTGCAAGGACGTGCCCCTGTTCCTACACACATGGCTGTGAAGGTGCAGATAGAGATTACGGCTGGACAGACGGGCAGGACTCTAGAGTCTACCCCACACATTCAGAGCTGTGCCCCATGTCCATGCGCAGGGGCTCGGCCGGGGCTTTTGGCATGTGCATCTTCTTCCTCCCTGCTGCTGGGCACCTTCCCTACAAATAAACTTGTTTATGTGAGTGTCAGCTGTTGTGGCTTAGCAGGCAGAGCAAATGTGAAGGAAGAAACAGCAGCTTCCTTCTCCCCTCCGGGCTCAGCTGGGGGGGCACCTGTACCCTGGGGACTGCAGGGGACTGCAGGGAGGTGTGAAGACACAACTCTGATGTGGGGGTGCCAAGGGAGTGTTGCTGGAGCACCGACAAGCAGGGACGCAGGAGGGTAACGAGGAGAAATTCTGTTTTGGCAAAGGATGCTACTGGTGAGTATCATATCAGCATTGGTGAAATGTTTACACCTACACGGGGATGTGCCAAAAAGTGAGTAACAAACCACTAGCAGTGCTCAGCCTACAACTGTAGTGAAGCTATTTTCCCCTTGGAAACAAGAAATTACTGGAAAACGCTCTTGACTACAATACAGTAATTTGTCCCCATGCTCCCACCCCTCTCAGGACTGTCCTCTCAAAGGCCAGGTCTGATGTGGAGATCAACTGGGAACAAAACCTGCTCGGATGTCCCTTTCCAGGCCAGTTTCTTTGTTGACTGCATCCAGGCTGCCTGTGCTCGCAGTCCCTCCGAGGAGAAGCACACCAGAAGCCAGCCAGAGTGAGTCATCATTCAGTCAGTGAGTTCAACCAGGAGAAGGAGAAGACATGTCGGGCTGGCTCGTCACTCCTCTCATTGGGCACAGGATTTTCCTCCACTTGTCCTTGTGGGGACGGTTCAGAACCAGTCTGTAAAGGAGGGAAAAATTGACAAACGGAAGTGGAAAAGACAAATTGCATTAAAATCCTTAAGATCTCACAACACACAGGAAAACAGAATGAAGTGGGAAACAGGGGAAAAGGCAGTGAGCATGGAAATTTGGGGAGGCCAGAGAGACTTCTAATGCCAGATAAGTCAGAGGGACTTTTGCCATGGACAACGGCAGAGGAAGGATTACACCAGGTGAGCATGTCACACCTGTGCAAAGGGCTTGGTCTGGATTTGGACCTCTGGAATATTGTTACTGCACCAAAGGTGATAACTGCCTATCTAGAAGAGATCCTGAGCCAGCTTGGCTTGTGGAGCTGGGCCTCCAGATTGATGTGGACCAAAGCCAAAAGTCATTGTCAGTGCATTGCCACTCAAAATGCTACTTGTTCTGCTGTCATGAAATCTGCCTTGGATGTGGTTTGTGTATTTTGTTCTTTCAAGTCTTTTAATATTTATTTCACTTCAATTTCACTCAACCCAAAACCAGGAAATAAATAATACAGAGAAACAAGTTTGTGCTTACAGCCCAGGCCAAATATTGCTTTTGTTTGCACAGGTATTCTATGCTTATGGTAAAAAAAGGAATCTGCATGTGATAGGCTGAAGTGGCTAATCACAGCAATTACCACTATCTTCAAAATTAGCTGAATATTTAACAGACTGGTATAATATACAGAAATATTTTTACTAGTTCCAGTGTTTTCATATCCCTTTGGCAGAGAATGAAGACTGTTTTTGTGATAGTATCAGAAATCATATGGAAGATAAAATACATAAAAATGGGTGATTCAGTACCTACGGATGCCTCGTGTCTTCATCATTAAAACCACAATTTAACTTACAACATACAGGATTTTTTTCCCCCTCTATATTCATAGATATGCACATCCATTACTGTACATGCTGAAAATGAAGCTAGCCATACTGCCAGGCTTCTCTGTGCAGGGTTTCATCTTATGTTGGGAACTTCAGCATGTTCTCAGAAGAACTATTTGATGTTAAGATACTACTCAACAGAGGGAAAATGACAGAATTTTAACATGTCTCAATTGTTTATAATATTGTCCTAAAATGGAAAGTTACCAAAGCAATGATGCCAACAGACATATCCAGGAGCAAACAATGAAGCAGGGATGCTTGTGAAGAACTGAAGCATGGGATAGATGATTTTCCTAGTAGCTTAGTGTTAGGTGTACCACAGGAATTAGTAAGAACTAATGGTATGTTAAGGATAAATCAGCTACTGGGCTTCATTCCAGTTACTACGTATTTATGTGTTGTGACACCAACAAACAAGACAGCAGGGAGGTAGGAGAAAAGTAACTCTGTGTTTCTTTATTTATATCTAATTAATGTTTATAGTTCCTTTTTTAGACCCACATCTACCATTGGTTTAGACTGGAATAGCCCTACCTGGGAATCTCCTTTAATATTTGAAGAAGGAACCAATCTTTGACTTAGATTCATATTTTCAAAGCAAGGCATTCACTGCTCCTCACTGTAAAATACAGGGTTCAGAAAGGATTCTTACAGAGAATAATCTTGCAGAAGAATATAACTTTTGCTTGCTACCTTTCTCATGTACTTTAATGAGAGCACGAGCATGAGCACTATGAGAAATCTGGGCAAAACAGCTGCCTACTTAAGTACAGAAGTCTGTTGTCAGCAGTGCTGGTGAGAAGGATTGTCTTCATGCAAAAGCATTGTAAAGAATCAGGCCAGCGGGGCCGGGCCTTCAGCTGCACAGGCAGGAGTCCCAGTTCTGGGAGAGCTGCCCCTCAGCCCTGGGCCGTGCTGAACGTGAACCTCTCAGCCGCTGACACAGCTCAGGTATGGGCAGCAAACACGTGGCCAGTCCTTCGGAGTGGTGCTGGGTGCTGAGCTCCCCTGCTCTAGGGAGATGCAGGAGCACAGCTCTTCTATTAGTCCTCTGGTGTTGGAAATTTTGCCTTTTGTTTTTGGAAGGACAGATGGAGAGCCTGGACTAGCTAAGAGTAATTTTTTTGGTATAATTTTTGGTAATTTTGAAATTTGGAGACCGGTTGTGCAATTTTTTGCACCAAGCCCTCAGCAGTGTGTATATGCAGGCATGGGACTGCCCTCCTCGCTTCCCATCCTGCAAAGGAATCAGACTGGTAAAAGGTTTAAAAAAAATGCTTCCTGCATCTTTATTCTTTCTTCCTTAAAATCACACAAGTACCTTGTCATTTCTCTTCCTGTGCAAGGTGGGCTGCTTTTAGAACTTCCACTTACTATTCCAGCCAGACACTACCCAGAAATATGCATTAAACTAAGGTTAACTTTGAAGCAAAGAACTATCTTTTGGGCTTAAACTTAAGCAAGTTTGTTCACAGGATTTGGACCTAACATGTTAGAAGAATAAAAACACAAAGTAATGACTTAGACTGGCAAGGTGACTGCATTACCTTGTTAACCCACACTGCTGGAACTGTGTTTCAAACAAAACAATCTTGTCTGCATCACTGCCAAAACTATATTTCATAATGTGTTAACTCCTTCATATTCTGCTGTGATGACATCTTCCCGTGTCAGCAAAACAATGTTGGAGCTCCAACATATTCCCACCGGGTTTGGCTGGCTGGCTGAAGCAGTAACTCCCTGCACCTTGCTGTACTCAGCAGGCTGCCAGTCTGCAACACCTCGATGGGCCTTTCCAAAAGCAATCGTTTGCCATCACACCCAGCCGGGAGTGAGGCAAGCATAAAAGTGACAATAGGGCCATTCCTTGGCTTTTAGACTTGTGTTTTCACACCTGTGACACTTCAGCATTCATGCCCTGAGTGAATGAGCATGCCAGGAGCAGCTCTGCCCACATTATTAAGTTCATTCCTCTCTTCCACAGGCAGCCCACACAACTCAGAGTTATACGGTAGATTGGGATTGTCTGAGACAAGGGTTTCAGATGTAGACTGTTACAGAAAACTATTATTTTTTATTTTTTATCCAAGGGGTGGTTCTGAAAGGGAGAAAGCAGAAGCCAGTCTCCCCAGCACCAATGGGATTTGGGCATCTGATCCCTCTGTAAGTCCTTGCAATCTCATTCTGGATCACCTCACGCTCCCTGTTACTGCAGCCCTGCTTTGCTGCCAGAGGAAATATTTCTGCTGAGCCCAGCACAGCCCTTGCCACACGCCTTTCAGACGCTTCAGATTCAACACTCCATTGTGTCTGTCCATTGCTATTAGGTAACTGTTGTCAGGCTTCTCCCCGAGCTTTATCTTAGGCTTGGAGATCTCATGGGTAGGGTTTGTTTTTCACTTTACCTAGAATAACAAATCCCAACCCTTGATTTGGGTCCCTAACAGTAATAAGGAATAACTAAAGTATTTACCTCAGATTACATTAATCACATTAGGGCAATGCTGAGAGAGTGCTGAATGCTTGCAGTTTGATTTATACTTTCCTCTGCAGTGTCAAGTGACATCAGACGATGCTTTCAGTAAGCACCAGGAATTTTCACCAGGCCAGCTGAAGGAGCGTGGAGGGAAGCACACCCTGCATGACTGATGGTTAGATTTGTTTTTCCCATATGGCTGGAGTTTACATGCCAATTCTCTGGAGGTGCTGAGCAACCATGACTCCCACTCAGCAGGCATTCAGCACTCCTCAACATCTGGCACACTAGAATTTGCACCACTAAACCATATAAGGATCTTAGAGTTTCACCTGATGAGTCGTATCAAAGTTGCAGGTATTCAGCATCTTCCAGTATTTGCTTCCTTGAGCAGAGCACTAATTAAATATATGTAAGGTTCTTGTAAAGGGTGTGGAGGGAAGAAATCAGATATTCACTCAGGCAAACCATGTTCATCCTCTCTAATGGGAGTGATGGGAGAAAGGCACAACCAAAGGGGCATTTGTCCCATTCTAAAAGAAGTGTCCAAAAGGGGGCGTGCCTTCTGGAGGTACCTGTTTCTTTCCCCTGATTCTAGAGACACTCTTGGTGATCAGGTTAGACTAGATCTGTCTTTTAAGTAATTACACAAGAAAGATTCTAGCCAAATACTTCAGGATATCAGAAAGTTGCTCGATAGGAATCGAGACCTTTGACTGCACTATTATTGTTATAAAATTAGTAACTCTTAAGTTTAGGAAGTGGGGAGGAAAGGTCAAGTGTCTTCATAGTCTTCTTTAATTTGGTTTTAGTTTTGGTAATATTTTGCTTATTTTTGATGACTTCTGATAAGGTAGCATCTGAGGAAACCATTTTTATAATGTCCGTCTCAGAGGTTATATCACATCAGCTTGCAAAGAGATGTGAGAAATAGGAAAAATAGGTGCTGAAATGGTTGTTTCCTCCAGGGCTGTAGATCACCCAGCAGCATCTTCTACCTGGACTTTGCATAACTAATAACAACCACAATATTTTGTCATTAATCAGTAAACAAAAATATTTGCTGGTTTTATGCTGGCCACAGAACAGATCATGCTTTTGTTGGCAAAGCAAAAATACCCTCACACTTTTTGAGCATATATGGTACTACCTACTGAATTTGTGGTAGTTGAGCATGTTGTGTCACCTGAGTACGTTATTTCTGACCTATTGCTGAATTCTCCAAAATGTTATTTACCATCGTGTGGAATCACAGTTTCAATTTTGGCTAAATTAATAAGAAAGGTCTAGATTTACAGTGAAGTAAGTGAGAAAAGAATGCATGTAGCTTATTGGAAGTCAGTATTCCCTAGGATAGTGGGTATTTCTTACAGCTCTGCAGATGGCTGGGATGGCTGGTTACAAATAGCTCTCTTGTGCAGCTCTACGCATGTTTTCTAGAGCAACAACATGAATCAAAGCAGGTCCTGCCCCTTGGCTCCCCATCCACCTGTTCCTCTTGCCTCTGTGGTTCCCTGTCCACTTGTGTTGCTGTGGCTGTCTGCAGGGCTCTGCTAAGACTGGGAATGTCACTGGAATTACATCAATTTTTTGGTTTTTTTGAGGTGAAGGAAGATATTTTTA